GGTTCAGTGGTCTGGTTTGCATGAACAGTAATGAATTACTGGCTCAGCCTCGTGATTTGACTTTAGTATAGCTTAAATATTTGTGTGGCTGGGCCCTTAAAACGTATCAGGGAATCTGACACCACCAAGCCCCAAACAAGAGTCTGGCTGAGTTTGTTGCTCTGTTATCAGTAAACATTTTTCATTGACTTTTGAGGTTCAGGGTGCTTGCAAATGGAATAACGACCCACCACCATGAAAAAAGAAAACAAATCAAAACGAGCATTTTAACATAATGACAAAAGACATTTATTTACGTATCAGGAATGACTTTCAACATTTCTTCATACATAAGCCTCTTTGGGGTATATTTACATTCATAATGTTGCAAAACAGTAGTAATAGATCTACATGTTAGAACTGTTACAGTCAGTTATGTTTCTCTGATCTTGATTAACCATAAACAAATTTGTGTTTACGTCATTTGTTCACCTCCTAAACAATGCATACAGAAAATAACAGCGGAAGCAGCTGGACTAAATATCGCAGTTAGCACAAATGAACAATTTGCAGGAAAAAAAAAACTTTCAAAAGAAACCTTTTAATTGATGTAGCTGGTGGGTTGGAGTCACCGAAACGTTTCCACGTCAACACAAGTGACGACAGTCACAGCAGTGGTTCATGTTAAATGCTGTGACTGCTAAAACAGCGATACACCAGCTAAATATGCAAACACTGCACAGACACGATGATGGACCCCGTCTCTAAAGTCTGGCATGCTAACATGCTAATGCTAACGGACCCCGTTCAGAAACGTACCTTGGTTTTTGACCTCTTGGTGCTGTCTGCTTTTCTTCACCGCTTTGACCTTCGGCATTTTACTTTATTTTGTCCTGCTTAAAGAGCTACAAAAATCCAAATTGTAAGTAATTATCCAGAGTAAGGCTGGCTAGACTTTGTAAACACGTGTAGCCCTTCCTCTGTGCTACTCTCTCTTCTTCAGTGTCACGCTGAGCTGCAGGTTTCATCTGTTGGCTCGCTTCCTCCGCGCCCTCTGGTGGCGATCTGGCGGCATTGCTTTTACTTTTTCAAGATGAAACTAAAACTGTTTTTGAAACAGTTTGTTTGTCACACACACTCTCACACACACTCACACACACTCCATCTTTACTCAGAGATGGGAAACTCCTCGAGTGTCATGGCGATGTCTCGAAGTTTGGGATCATCAAGCCAGTTGACTTTACAGGCCAAGAGAATGCCCTGAAGAGGAAAACAAACATTAACATACAACCAACAAAACTGCGAGTGAGTATCATACATTCAGTCATAAACTGTACCGACTGTTTTTTCTAAAGTTTACCCTGAGGACATTTTGGGTCATGATGGCCATCTTTTTATATTTTTCCAGGTTTGCTTGGCCTTTCTCCAACGCAGCTTTGTACTTTTCCATGTCTGGATACTCTTTCTTTGAAGACTCCTCCATGTGTTTGATCTTCTCATGCGTGAGCCGTTTCATCTCTGCAAGCAGAAAGTACTACTTTAATCTGGAGTCGAAACAATAAATAACTAAGAACTTAACTGTGAAAGACATCCGATTTCTTTCTCGTAAAGCATACCAAGTCTGTTCTTCTGTATTTCTGTAACCTCATCTTGAAGTTTTTTGGACTCCTGTTAGACAAATAAATAGTGGATTAGGGTATAAAACCCTCAACTTTAAGTAGCACTTCAACCTGTAGCATTTATGTTGAAGAATCAAGGTCGTCAAGCCAAGTATTGACTTTGAAATTTGTTAGAATTGTACAGATTCTGTTTTTGCCTTATATACACACTGCACTTCCATGAACGTTTTCATGTTTCAATAAAGATCAGAACCCATTATCCATTTTCCAAGCAAAATATCAAATGAGGGTTGACTCAAGACCTTTGCACAATACTATAAGTGATTACAATACCCTAACAAAACAAATTGTCTAATATAGGAACCCCATACAATTTTAAACACACAAAGCACTTCAAAGAAGAACACAGACTTAAGCTGCTCACCTGTTGAAGCTGTTTTATGTGTGAACAAAGACCCATGCAGCGGTCACTTATGGCTTTCAGAGCACTGAGGAAAAAAAACAAAACAAATGTTTTGATAAAAATAACTAAATATTTCAGCTGTTTCTGTATGTTGTCAGTTGACTTACTCTGCTTCAGAGTCACTCCAGTTCAGCTTTTCTCCAATAGCGTGCCACATCTGCATTCTGAAAGACAGAGACAATCAATGATCTGTCACGATAAACATGAGAACATCTGAACTCCAAAAACAAATAATACAAGCAGCAGTTTACCTGTGCAGGGTCAGTGTGCTGTTAAAATGAAGCGTCTTCACCCTTTCAAGCTCACTGATATATTCTGGCCTGAAACAAACATGTGTCAACATCTTTTTT